TAGGTTAGTTTAAATCCACAGTTAACTAGTTTAAATCCACAGTTAGCTAGTTTAGGTTAGTTTAGATCCACAGTTAGTTAGTTTAGGTTAGTTTAGTTTAAATCCACAGTTAGCTAGTTTAGGTTAGTTGAAATCCACAGTTCGTCCGTTGGATAGTTAGTTAATATTAAAAGTTTAAATCCAGTTACCTCTTCTCGTTTACTTCTCTTCGAAACCTTCTTCTCCATCTTGGATGCGGTTTTCTCTGCTCCCTTCACCTTCTTCTCCTTCTTCCCTTTTTTACCCATCGCTGTTCGTTGGTTCCGATTCAACTGGATCTTTTAAACTGTCTGTTTGAACTGAATGAATCCGCTGACACGTGGGAATAAAAACAATCACACGCCGACCTCCTGCACGCTCAGGAGTGGGATTTACTTCCGGCAACAAAGTCAGGGTGAGAGCGGTGTGTGAGTGTAACAGCGCCCCCTGGAGCCGTGGACGACCCTCAGCACCTCTACACGATCCAATACAATTACAGAAAAACACACAAAACAATCGAAACGCAAAAACCAACACAACACCCAAACTCATTAACGAATCCAGAGCAGATCCACACTTACACTGTCACACAATTTCCATCAGGGCCAACAACTCAACCAGGCAACGAATGTGAAATTAAATAAGCAAACAAACAAAAAACAATCAATACGTAAAATTCATTTCGTCATGTTATTAAGAAGACTAACAGCTTTGATATTGTTATCTGTTAAATGCCAGTTTGATCCCAGCCCTCGGCTTCACTAATTATTCTACATCGATCCTCAACCGTTTTCTTACAACACAAACTGCTATGAGGTGAAATATGACGAATACTTACTGGCGGATAATTACTTACTTAATTGGTTATTATCCTGTTTTTTACTCTGAACAGAGGGAAGCTGGAAATGTGTATATGTATGATATGTTGTGTTCATTTTATTCGGTTCACCTGTTAAATCTAAAGGAACCAAACAAAAGCGTCCTGCCACAAGGTGCAGTGATTTCTCTTCTGTGTTTTTACATGTTGTCCTGGGCTGCATCATCTTGAGAGGTGTTCCTAATAATCTGTCCATGTCATATATATATATATATGGAGTGAGGCTACTGGAGCTGATGCTGCTGCAGATCGTGGTGAAGCGGTTGTACGTGTATTCACAGGCTTCGTGTCCTCGTGTGTGTCACAGGAGCATGAAGTGTTGAACATGTTTGAACACACGTGTTCATTTATCTTCAGTGTGTGGGGAATGTCACAGAGAGAAACTGACAGAGAGAATACCAATAAGCACTCAAGTGTCTTGACACCTTGATACGACATTCAACGTTGACACACACGCATGTACCTACACAAACACACACACACA